TTCCCTACATCCTACTGGCTTGCCCCTCATCACCTGAGCATCTCATCTGTTTTAGAAGCACAAATAAATCTTTCAAATGGATTCACTCAGAACATCTGAAAAGAAAAAGTGTCTATATCGAATGTGCCCAAGTCATTTGTATTGCCATTCTCCCTAAAATACTATATACAAATTGCTTCTGTGGTCTCTACATTAGAAACTACACATTAAAAGGAAGCAAAGGCTATTTTTAAAGCAAAGCTTAAAAACTGATGAATGTTGGAATAGCTTAAATTTTCTTCCCCTCCACACCCCCATCCCAAAGGCCAGTCCACAACATTGAGGACCAAGTTGATAAGTTAGGCTCTTGCAACTCATTTTTTTCATCATTTCCGGGGCAGCAGATCGGGGCAGGAACAGCCTTCTCCTAGCAGCAAACTGGCCACATGTACCTTTGAGTCCCCTCCTCCCCACCCACCCATATCACAACATAAGCTCATTTCAATGAAAACAATGTCTCAGCAGAAAGCCACTGAAAGCTTATAGCAAGAGCATGGAAGAGTAACACTGAACTGATTCCATTAGCATAATCTAAGAGAAAATAACGATTTATCAGACTCAGAGCTCGGAAACAGAAAAAAAACCAGTCTGTGGCAGAGCAGAGAGAAACTCAGATTTATAATCAACCCAATAAGCATGGAAATGAGAAAGCGCTCAGCCTCCCGCAAATGAAAAAGAGCGAAATATTGTGATAATGCCAACAAGGGGTTCTCAGAGGTGTAGAAAGTACCAGGAGGGAGGGAGACCAGAAGCCTCCTAGTGATGGCAGGGGAATGCGAACAGCTTCACCCAGATGGCATGAGGGGGATTAACACTATCAAGACACTGTACCAGCAGCCACAGCCTGCAACAGAAATAGGTGCAAAAAAAAAAACCAAAACACAAAACCAAAACACGTGGGTTGGCCTTAAGGTCTGCTAAGCCCTATGTGAAATAAGGATGCCAGCGAGGCCTCAGGCAAGCACCGCCCAGAATGCCCACAGCACATCTGGAGACAGGGACCTCAGAAGCTGTGCGAGGCTGGCAGGCGGTGGCAGCAGGAGGGACCACCAAGGGTAGAGATTGAGGTAGCCTCCCTGTTTGAAGAGGCCAGACAGACAGTGGTGAGGAGGGTTTCATTAACCCTGAGGTGCTCAAGTTCCCGCAGCTCATTTCTCCAGGAACGCGAGTAATAGTTTATTGCAAGAAAGGAGACCTCCACTGTGTATTTGCAGAAGAGGTGTTGGAGAACAGGATCTCCCAGAAGTCCAAATTCTTGTGCAGCTACATATTGAACACCTGCTAAAGCCCTGAAAAAGTCAGGAGGAGCGATGAGGGAGAGCGATGAGAGCATAGGTGCGAGTGATGAGCTATTCAACTGTGAAAACATCTGCAAAATGACCGAAAATTAAAGGCAGTCCAGTGCGAGAAGAGGGAATTTCCACAATGGAGCAAACATTCTGCTATTTGATTGCCTTTCCTCTCCCTCCACCCTGCCTTTAATTTAAGAAGCAGACAAAGACAAAGTAAAATCTGCCTGGAATCCACGCTGCATCTGACCAGCCAGGGCCTCTCTTCAAGCAATTGTTTTTCACACATTGCACAAGGGAGCAGGTTAAATCCCACCATTAGATTTAATCACCTCTGCACAAATATTATCCAGGGTCTGAACTGCTCTTTGTCAGATTTGCTAGGCACCACCTGGGACTCGGGTGAGACAGACCCTTCTCAAGGTGCCAGTTGCGCTGGGACCTCACCTGCTCACTACGGTCCGAGAACAGAGGTGAACTCCCACTGCCCAAAATGTCCTGGGAGCTCTTTGCTTGTCACCTATAGCCAGCACATACCTCAGCAACAAGCCTAATACAGCCCACGCCAGACATTTGGCAACTCCAAGATCCTTAAATGTTTTAAAACTAACTCAGCAGCACCAAAGGTGGGAGAGATGCAACCTTCCTAGTTAGTACTCAGATCACACGCTGGCTGCTATACCTCTGGAAAACACAGGAGATCACAATCATTATCCACGCTTATGAATAAAATATTCCTTTTATTTTAGTAAAGTAACAAAGCTTTTTTACAGATACAATAACTGTACATTCCAATTGAAAAATAGATTGTGCTCAAAATCATTAAAGCAAGTCACACACAGTCTGTTAGGAACACAAACAACCTCAAACCTCCCAATGCCTTCAGCTCCCATCTTCTCTCAGGAAATCAGCTTGTTTTGTTCTGAATGATTTTCTGCTGATTCTCAAGACATTCCTTCAGCTTGTCTTCAGTGAGTGTCAGCCTCTGCTCCAGGATGGAAACCGTCTGCAAAACAAAACGAAAGCTGCTGTTGAGCCGCTCACAAAGACAAGCTACGTTACTGTGCTCTCAGTGGGCAATAAAATGCTAAATCCACAGGAGTATTTTGAGGTTATTTCAGGACTGTAACTCCAGTATCAGCATTTTAGCAGGGCTGAGCCCCACACGACTTCAGAGAGGAGCAATGAAGGCTGGCGGGCATGAAGCTCTCCTGCAGACAACGTTGAGCACCCATTTTGGCACTTGGTGCTTTCAAATTGGGCTCTGCATTTCCTTTCATGGACAGGTTCTGTCCTTCCACATTCATGAGCCACCAGACACTGGAGAGCCACCACTCTTCTGCTAATGAGAGACGGAGGTTTTGTACATTTTTGCCCAGTTTTAGCTTTGATTGTGCCTCTCTGCTTCGACTCTTTCCTCCTTTCTCCAAATGCTGTTCAGTTTGCTGCAATTAAAACACACAAAACTTGCTGGACAAGCACAATGACAAGCAAGAAAACCCTCCCAGCATAAGGCAATGCAACAGGCGATGGAAGGGAATTGAAACCCAAAGTGGCAGTATCTACCTCAACATAATGCCTAAATACTTTTGTGTAATCCAGTTAGCCCACAAAGGATTGTTATATCTTTCTCCTCAAGCTGAAGTCATCACGTACAGGATGCACAGGAAGAACATTTTAACCATGTGGCAATAAAAGCCTCTGCTGAAAACCCTTTATTGATCACTCCGAGGTAATCAAGGGACCTAGCTATGCAGAACCACTTTCAGCTTCCAAAGACACCGGAACAGCTGATAATAGGCAGTGATGATTTAATGCTTTAATATCTATAAACTTATCAGCAACAATCAATAGCTTCATATTTTGAGCATTTTTGCTGCATAAATAACATCCTCTGTTAAAAACAAAGGATGTTCGGAACCTTGGACTTTAATAAAGTAATTCAAATAAACTTGGACAACCGCTATTTGTATAGAAGTTGTACACAAAAAGCCTTTTAATAGCACATTTCATAAGCACATCATAAGTGCCTGACAGAAGAAAGCAGGTCTCATTATCCCCCATTTTACAGCTGGGGAAACTAAAGCACAAAGAGAGGAAATAGCTTGGCTAAGGCCACTTGAGTGACTAGGAAAACTCTCCCGTAAAATGATTTGGGGAATGAGATGGATGGGGGGGGAGGGGAGGGGAGGGAAGAGAAAACAGGTATAGTAAAAACACCAAGCATTATGGCAAAGCCACCTCGCAAATCGCATATCAACAAAGTCAGAAAGGGCTGTGCATCATGACATTTGCCACAATGCACCCTTTCTTCCCCTCCCCAAACATAGTTCAAAGTTTATTTCTACTACACATGCACCACTGACATGTGACAAGGCAGAAGAGCTAACTCCTGCTGCCTAATGCAGCATTGCTGCAACTGTAGAAAGCTTCACCTGAAAGAAAAAACCCTGCATTGCTTAAGTATTGCCCTGGGCTACAGCACTAGCTTCATTTAAGTTTTTTCCTCCTCTGTTGCCACCCCTTAGAGGCACAAGAACTGCAGTACACAGAGAACCAGAAGAAAAGTTGTGGAGCCAGCAGGTAATATCCCAGGAGCCAGCAGAGTCCCTCCCATCTATTCAAAGGAGAGAGGATTACATCTTTTTCGTATCCAGCCACGCTATTGCCTAGTGGCTGTTTTACAGAGGTCAGGAGTAAAGCTGCTCAGGGCAGAACACAGCAGGCTGAATGTCTACCAGGGGGTTACAGCAAAGATCTTACCCTGCAAGCAACCAGACAGAGAATGAAAAGCAGTAGGGATCCTGGCTTTTCCATTTAAAAGAGAAGAACTAGTAACTCAAAACTCGGTTATAAAAGAGGGGGGTGAAACATTGCATCAAGTTTCCTTTAGAAAGATAATCAACTAAATTCATGTCCTAGTCACACTACCCTGCTAGAAGCAAAGCCCCAGATTAATTGTGATTCCTGTATCCCATGATTTACTGCCACCACGACCCTGCTGATACGAGTTAAGTGCTGTTACATGCAGCACTGTGAGACTAAGGGCAAATAAAGCAGATTTCAGAAAGTGTTGAATTTGTGAAAAAGCTATAAGGAAAATGTTTATTGGAATGGAAATTGCATGTAAGTATAAGCAGAAAGCTTGTAGCGAGTATTTTTTGGAAACTAAAAGTGGAAAAGTAGCAGTCAGAAATGAAATCCAGGAAGTCCGAAGTAGGAACTGATGACTACAGTCCATTTAGACTTGAATATATGATGCCCGAAACACACGGGGCACCTGACATCCTAGGAAGGTAAGGGAAAGCGCAAATACCGCCCAGCTGCTATTACTGCTATATTGCAACTTACACACAAAAGTTCCTTTATAAGCAGCCGACAGAGTTTTACAATATTTCCATGTTGCTTTTTATAAAGCAAGTCCTTGTTGGTAGGCAAATTAAACTGCACCCATTCAACTGCTGCAAGTTTTTGCTATTGCTTTTCAGAAGATAATGAACCAACGATTAAGCCAAGGAGGAAAATACTGTTGGCCAGATTCAGCGAGGGTTCACTGGAGCCAGGTTCGCACTCGAGCCCTTTCTCTGTGGCAGGATCTGGGCTTCCTGTTGTGTCAGGAGCACAGTACATGTCTCCATTACGCACCAGGGAGTTAAATGCCAGATAATTTATTAAAGTCTTGGCTCAAATTGGCAGAAGAATAACAGCTTAAGCTTAAACGAGAAGAAAGATCAACCTATTTATTTTTTAAAGGAGTATTTCTGACATTACAATAACATACTGACCATTATTATGGACACCAGAGGTGAATATAGAATTTTTCACACAAAGGAAAACTTACTTAAATCACTTCTACCAACACTTCCTGCAACATTTGTCTTCATTCATCTTCATAGACTTAGCCTAGAAAAAAACCTGCTCTTCTCTTTGAAAACAATAATGAGAAACTATGTAGAAAAAAGTTGCATCCTATTTCCTTTAAGTTCTGGGGAATATTCAGCTCCGTTCTCCCCCAGGACACCTAAACTGAAGCACTCAGTCATCACACTTGCTTACGTGATGACAAGCCCCCTATGATATTCCTCCATGTTACTTTTACTCCCTCAACCCAAATAATAGCGATTTGTGATGCTGTTCCAAGCACCAGCCCTCCAACAGTTCCAGCTTTCATGAGCATCTTTTCCTTAGTCCATGTTAAACATTTCCCTGTCTGATTAAGTAGCAGAGACGGTTTAAGAACCGCTAGCCTCAGGGTTGAGGCTTTTGCAGCAGCCCTGGAGGGGCAATCAGTCCTGCCCTCTTTTGAGGACTACAGATAAGGGGAACCAGGTGCTAACTGAATGCCAACAGAAACCAGTTCCACAACTGCCAAAAGAAACCTGCACAGCAGAGTCCAGAGCAACCAAAGGCCCTCAGCAACCCTTCTAGAGCAATAGTGGGAGTCCCTGCAGTAGCCAGGAGAGATCCCCCTAGACTCATTGGATCCCCCTAGGCTGCTCATTAACTAAAGCTGCCCCCAGCTCCAGGTGAAGTACTAAGCAGGCAAGAGCACAGGAATGATGGAATAATGTTAGGCTCACCCAGCTATGGGATGGCTGCCCTGCAAGCAAAAAGGTGCAGCTCCTGCCCTGTAAGCATCACATGGGTTTTTTAGTACACTACTCACACCTGCTTTGCTTGAGTTAGCACACACAATAGCATGGGGGACGTAACACTGCTCCAGTTGATCACTGGTAATTGTGGGACCCCCAAAAAACCATGTATTGATACAACAGTTACTCAGATCAGGTAACAACAGCTTGGCTGAGCCTACAAGGGATAGGATCCTGCACACTGACTGCAAAGTAGATTGCCTGCACATAGCCAAGAGCACAAGTATTACACTTGCGCTTCTATTCTATTGGGGAAGAGTGGCTGGAAAGCTGCCTGGCGGAAAAGGACCTGGGGGTGGGTCGACAGCGCCGGCTGAACATGAGCCGGCAGTGTGCCCAGGCGGCCAAGAAGGCCAA